GATTACATCATCTACCATAGTTTCCACTATAATTAGGAACCTGTGTTCTTAAGATTTAGTGTAGTGCCATCATTCTTCAGTTTTTCAGCACTGGATCCTTCTTCTGGAGGAAGTGTTCATCTCAGAGAATTTCATACTTCCATGGCAGGCTCATTGGTACAAGCTTTCCATTTTGGCAAGGTGTGAACTTCAAAAAAAAAAAAAAAAAAAAAATTAAGTATATGGTGAGATATCTAAGCAAATACAAGCTTCCTTATATTCTGCCCCAATCATACTATAATTCTGGGGAATTGAAGTTTAATACAGCTATTGTTATACAAAAAGCTACACTAGAACTCCCAACTTTACTGTAAGACCCATGTTGAGTTAAAAAACAATTTATTTTTAATTTTTAAACTTTATTTTAGGAGAAGAAACAAGCCTTTTAGAACATCAGGTCAATTTTTAAATTTTTAAGATTAACCTTTTAGCCTCTTAAAAGATCTTAAGGCTCGCAGGCTTCTGCGCAGAAGGCAGCACTTTGGTGGCATTTCTCCATTCTTCCCCAATGACGTTTTGATTAACTGCAGTGCAGGCTTGGTGGAACATGCTGAAAAGGAGAACGATAATGAGACATTCTAGTCTGAAAAGATATGCATCTTCTGTATAAGGCAGTGTGACAACAGTTCAGGCGATTTGTTACTTTGCTGTCTTGTTTATCTTTTTCCTGATTCTTGCATTGCTTAAGTTAATTGCTGTTGTGTTTGGATTTAATGAATGTACTTTGGCTCAGTTTGTGAAGTACAGTCCTTGTTTGACCTGTGAGCATTGAGAACAATGATAATAGGACTAATACTTGTCTAAAGATGAACAAAATACGTTTTGGGACATACTGGTATGTATAAGGAGGACAGAATAGGTCTTTTCTGTTGTAAGTGAGTTTGCTTTATTAGGTTGAAAATAACCTCTTTATTTTTCCTTTGAGAAACATTCCCCTGGGTGTTATCAGAAAAAGTACAGAACGATAAAAACCTGCTTCCTGCTTGTGGAAATATCAAAGCTGGGCCTTTTTAGGGTATATTTGTAGTCTGTTCTTGGATATATCTGTAGGTCTAGGAAGTATATATGAGATCACTGTGGAAACAAATAGAATAATATATATAGGCAAGTACTTGAAAAAGATACCTGTATGGTAACTGAAGTTTTTTTTCAAGGTGCTGTTTCTGTCTATGCTACATTTTCTGTCCTTTTTTTGTTCCCCTGCACCAGTGCATTCAGAGCTTTTAGCAAACGGGCCATTCTGTCTGCTAAGCAACTCGCAATGTCCAGTCCCTGTGGTGCTTCAGGCCATTCTGCTTAGCCAGTTTATTCTGATAAACTACTCCATTCCATATATATTTGTGGATCTCGGTGCTCAGAATCAGTTAAAATTAATCTCGATACAATTTAAGTAACCTTTCTACAGTAAGTATAGGTAGCTGTCAGACTGAGCTTCACCCTTTCATTCTTTCATATATGAAGTTTTCTAGGGAACAGCAAAAAAAATAAAACTCCCTTTTCAATCACATGAGTATTCCTGCATATAAATCCTAACCAATACTGCCGTTAGCGCTTATAATAGAATCAAGTTCAAGTACAGTGTAATGGACTTGTCTGGGTAGGTTGCGCAGCCATGAAATATGGATGTGATTACTCTTTCCGGACATCAGTGTTGCTGTTTCCATCTCAAGCTTGACTAAGTACATCACAGAAAGATACTAGATGGAAAAGGAGTCTGTAGTTCTGTCTAGTGCTGGAAGACATGCAGAAATAAGTTCGAAATCTTATTTTTAGTTCCCTTCTAGTTAAGGATGTATTAGATATGCATTGGGAGTGCCTGTCAGAGCAATCTACATACTGGCTTTCAGAAGACTTGGCGGTTGTGTTTTGTTTTTTTTTTCCCCCACACTGATGCTTTAGATCTCAGCCCCATCAAACTACTCTTTGTAGCCTTTTCACGAGTTTTCATGACTTCAGCTTAAAAATTTTGCTAGATTTCATAAACCAGCAAGGAATCTCAGATTCATCTTCCCTTTGACTGGAAGCCTTCGTGTCTTTACGTGGTGTCACCGACGAAGTATGCTGCAAAAGCAGTATTTGGGGATAGGATTAGGACAGGAGGGGTTTGCGTGTCTGTTTTGAAGTCTTCTCAGGAAATGAGGGAGATGATCATGATCACATTTCAGACTTTTTATTAAAACTGTTATGAAACGATTCCTGTATTACAGACCAATACAGTTGTGTTGCTTGATTTCAGCTTTACTAAATAAAGCTATATGATAAACTCCCAGAAGCTGGTATCTCTCTCTTTTCCCTCTGGGTGTAATGTAGTGGTATCTGTAATAGAGAAATAGTATTTAATCCAATATCTTTTTCCAGTAATCTTTTTCTAAATTAGGGCTATGTTACTATAATCATCCTTACTAGCTATGCATAGATTTCATTGTTTGCCCCTTTCTTTCATTAAAAAAAGTGGCTAGAGTTTTTTTCAGGCATTCATGTAGTCTTTATGCTTGAAAAAATGGTAGCCAGTCCTGCAGATTGCTACTAAGGTGAGGTTTTCCAGACTGCACATGTGTACACGCTAATAAAATTGCTTTCTGTACTGCTAACAATTACAGTGTATCCTGTATTAACAGCAGTTGAGAAGATCACTAGCAAATACTGTTTTTCTTATTGCAGCTGTTGTGGGTGAACACAAATGTATAGTGATACAGCAGCACACTAACTGCAGTGTGATAACAGCATATATTAAATGTGATCTATCTTAACGTACCGAAACTAAACTCTACTATATACTTAAATATTTTTTGCTTTTTCAGTGTGTTTTCCTCTTTGAACCTTTCAGACTTCAAGTTCAATCCATAGGATACTGCTGGTGCTTTACATTATAGTTACACTATATGCATACTGTGCCTAAACTGGGGCCCAAATAAACTTGCTTTTGTCGTAAATGCTAGCTGCCCTTTTAAGAGTTTGATTCCTGTGGAGGGGGTGGCAGAGCTGGATATAAGCAGATGCTTCCTTTGTGCAGCAGGCTCAGGGCTGCCTTCTTTGTGTGATTTCCCTTCTCTTCTTCCCTTGCTTACACCATGTTCCTGCTTTGCTATTTTGACAGATAAATCCAAGATTGTCTTGGTATGTCCATACATCAGTTTAGTCCGATGTATGGACATACCTAAGGTCCATATTGCAAATGTCTGCTCAGCCCCTAGAGAAGGTATTTTGGCTAGATGCTCCAGTCAGATGCAGAATCGCTAAACCAACGGTGTGATTACTGGCCGGTTGGATAGGTTGAGCTGATTGAGAGCATTAATGGATCAGAAACCCTGACTATAGAGAAGGCACGTCAGGAAAATACTTGTGCAAAGTTAATTTTACTGTAGTTTATGAATTTTATCAAATTTTGGCTTTTCTATGGTCCTTCAAAGCTAGGCTTGGCAGCAGCAGAAAAGGAATGGCACGTATGAGAGAAATCCAGGACTTCTGCTTTATTGCACTGACAGAACCAAATTGTTCAATCTGTTGCCTCATCTGTTTCTTGCCATAGCTGGGAGTCGTAAAGGTCAGGCCATCGCAGCACAAAGAATATAATGGTTAACATGCTGCATCTCGCAGTGTTACCAGCTGGCTAGTGCATTTCTCCCATTGAACATCCAGGCTTCTTTCCCAAAAAGCGTAAGCAGCATCCTCTGCCTATTTTGGGAATGCGTCAAAGTCAAAAGTGTCTGAAGGTGGTAATGTGGGATGCCCAGTATGGTCACTGCTATGCTCAACTCTGACATCCAGTGCTGCGCTTCAAGAGGGCTGCAGCAATTTCCAGTTTGAAATAATTCTTGTCACCCCAGGAGGTGCAACTTTTTTGGCCCCTGCGTAGTCGCGTCTGTTTACTGAGGAAAAGTTACCTTACTGTCAGTTGTGTGTGTTTGGGGAGGTGTTATGTGGTGGAAGTCTCTACCAGCACACCAGTAACCCCGACCCCTACCTTACACCACCGTTGGGTTAGAGTGCCTGGGTGACAAAGATTTCATCCTGCCACAGAAGTCAGAGTTACAGCTGCTCTGCTTGTTGCACCCTCCTGTAGGAAAATGAGAACTATGTGTATGGCTACAAGGCAGTAGCTAGTGTATCAAAATTACTTCTAAATATATGTGAATAAAGGAGGTAATGAGTAATGCAAATAAATATGTATGAAACTGCTATGGAAAACCTTCTCTGTTTAAATCTGATCTTCAGCACAATGTCTAATGTACACAGTGTCAGATGGGTGCACTGGCAAAGAAAGCGTGCTTTGTCATCCTCCTGACCCTCCCTCAGTGCTGAAGTGAGTCCTCTGACTAGCTGGCTCTTTGATCTCCCTCTCTGTTTTTCCATGTTTTAATACATGTTAAATGATGAAGCTTGCATGAAGATTAATGACACACTCTTGGCAGTATTTGACAAGATAAAAACAGAAGTAAAAGCCAGTTATTCTTCCCTTCCAGTATTTTTGTTAACAGTTCTGCATCCTAGCAACCCTTTACCTTTGCAGAAACCAGATTGGTGCTTCATATCACATTAAAACTATGAAGTTAGCTCCACTTTGAGGTGCCTCAGTCTGTTAATATTTGCTGGGTTTTGCTGTAGGTTGTCAGTAGCCATCGATGAATCATTTATAGTGGTAACTTAAAAGACAAAATTGAATTCAAAACTTCAGAAGCTTTTATTTTTAAAGAGTACTGGGATGGCAAAAAAATTAAAAATCACACAATATGAGGATAGGTTGGCTAGTCAGCTGGTCCATTCTGGTTCACCAGCATGTTTAATAGAGACTGCATCAGTGCTTTGGCCTCCAAACCCAGCACTGTCCTTGGAGATTAGGGACTGTTGCCTCACATCTATTGGTCGCAATTCCAGTTGCTCACTTGGCAAATGAGAGTGACATAAAATATACTATTTTAGCATAGTATGTCTTGTACTGAAGTGCTTTGTGCTAAGAAGCTATGTCACAGATGAAAGCTAAGGGAGATGATGTTGATGGTTTAAAACGGAATTTATTAGTTGGGTTTAGGTTTCTAGGAGGTACTAACTGCTTTTTTGGCACGTGTAACAAGGTAAGAGACAAAAATGCGTTTTGGTAAATTATACCAGCTAAAACGTCTTGTTTGGCTAATATTATAACTACATCTTTACTGTTCAGTATTTTAAATTTTCTCTGCTATTGCTATTCAGGGAAAAGTTTTGCTATAACTTGTTCTTTATTTCTTCAAATCTTGATAAGTTATCCAAGTCACTGTTTGACTTAACAGATCTTTGTTTTGTCTTTCAACACTTACTTGGAATGCTTTTGAATGTTAAATGTTTTCTTTCTTTTTGATAAAGAAAAAGAGGGGAGAGGGTATATTAATGCAAATGGTGTATGATATTTTAGTACATCCTGATTTTGACTGTTCATGTGTCTCAACCTTCAGAATGCCATTTAATTGTGATTTACTTTTCATTCCTAAAAGGTGCCATACTTGGCAGATCGGAAACACAAGAGTGTATCTACTATAACGCTAATTGGGAAAAAGATAAAACAAATCGCAGTGGCATTGAGCCTTGTTATGGTGATAAAGATAAAAGACGACACTGTTTTGCTACGTGGAAGAATATTTCTGGATCAATTGAAATTGTGAAGCAAGGTTGCTGGCTGGATGACATCAATTGTTATGACAGGTGAGTTTTCAGATAAATTTTAAATTTGTTTGTAATTTTAAACTATTTTGTCTGTCCATAATTTATACAACCTCCTCTCTGCAAACAGTACTTGAGACAAATAATACAGTAGTCTATGGCTAGTTACCTTCGTTTTAGATATGCGCACACATACGCACATGCTTCTTTTTTTTTATTGCTTACTTAACTGTATTTAGGGACCCGACTTCATCCCAGTACTTCATCTTGTTTGCAGAGTGGCATGTTTTACTTTCTCGTATTTGCTTACTATATATTAAAAAACAGGTGTTTAGTTTATTCTTTTGAGGCCATTAATAAAAGATTGTTCTACTGATTTTTTATTGCCAAACAATATAAATACAGTTATTGAAACCAGAATGCAAAATCCTATAGTTCACTTTCCAAAGTTTTTGGAGCAGAGAAGTCAGCGCATTGCGTCTGCTCGTTGCTTAAATGTGGAAGTATTTTGCCAGTGTATTAAAAAGCTTACCTCAGTGGCAGCTCTAAGAGACATCAAATATTCTAAAATTCCGGTCATTTTTGGTAACAGATGGTCTAGCAAGTACCCCTGAGCAGTAACAGCAGGACTTGGGGTTTGTTAGATACTGGCTGAAAAAGGTCATGACTCTCTTAAGAAATGGTATTATAGTTCTTTGAAGTACTGTACTAAGTTTTATTTAACCAATTTGACAGTTATTATTTGGAAAAGGAGAGAATTAAGAAAATGAATGCATAATAGGTCTTCATTACAATGTATTTGGAAATCATTTTTAGCCGTATTTTGGAAAATGTTACTTTTGTGTTTCTTAAATGCTGAATGAGTAGAAGAAATCATTATAGTAATTTCTACCAAACAAAGTTTCCCCACACACTAGGATATTTTTCGCTTTAATGGCAGTTTAAAGCTAAGTTGAACAGTAGTTCTGATTTATCTGTTTCTCAGAAGTACCAAAGCATCTGCAAGTTTGCTTGCACAGCATGATTGAAATTTGGCTATGTTGGAAGGCGAAGGGTGATTTTAAAGAAATCTTATTTGTCGCTACTAGTATCTAGTAAGTGTAAGTCACTTAGGATGGGAAAGTACTTTGGGGTTTTGTTGTTTTTTTTGTTGTTTTTTATCTGTTCTTACTTGTAGCTTTGCAGAAGAAGTGGGGGTATTTACAATTTCTGAACTAAGTTTATTTCTGCTAAATGGTAAACTTTTAGGATGGAAATAGCATTTTTGAATTTGGAAATAGAATTAGTTTCTGTGGCATTGTTATCCCACTAGTTCCACATGAACAGTCTAAAAAAAATTGGTATTAAGTTCTCCTTTGAGCAAAGAAAAGAAATTGGAAGAAGAAATAACAATGCAGGAAGGATGGTAAGGAAATAGTTGAAAACTGAGTAAAAGCTTGCCTGGCTCTAAGACCTCATTAATTGACTTGTCATAGGAATGCATGGTGCCATGTTTGTCTAAAATATCCGTTAAAATCTTATCTCCGAGAGTGAAGAGTGATTTACTAAACAGGGAGTTACAGTATGATGAACTCCAAACAACAGCAGATAAAGAACATCAAAGAATAAATGTTTTATGGAAGTTACAGTACAGTGCAATTGTAACAGCTGGTTCTATAAAATAACCTAATTTTTGAAGATGAACCCAAAACTTTTTTGACAATTTTCAGCTGTATTTAAAATCCTCAACTATTTCTGCAAGATTTTAAAATTCGTCTCTTTTTGCTGTCAAGTTGTCTCCTGCGTGGCTCCTATATTTCTTTCCTGACTTGGAATAGTTTCAGCTTATTTGTTAATAATGCTCCTTTCCTGCAGTTAATCCATTGAGTGAAATAAGCCCTGTCCATGAGCATGATGTAGGCAGGTGAAATTGCAGAAATTCTATCTTTCTTTTTTTCTAAAAATCGAACTTAAAAATTCTCCTTCCCACTTCCAACCCACACAACCCTGGACTATGAGTTTATGGTTAAACACTAGCCATTTGATCATTTGTTTGTCTTGTTTAAATCTAGATCGCGAACTGTTCTTCAGTATTTTTGCCAGCTTCTGAATTGCATGCTGTTGGTGGGTTTTCTTTAACTTTGTCTCAAAAATAGCAAAAATGTGCTGGTTTGGTTTTAATATTAATGGTATTTCATTGCAACATAAAATAATGAACGACATTTTAATTTGCTTCTTCAGATTTAACTCTTATTTGGGTGGTATATTGTTCTGGATGATTTAATGAAGTTTGCTTTAAATTTTAGATATGAGCATACGTTTTCCTCTTGAACAAAAAGCACACAACTTAGGATTAATAATTTGTTTTATTATTACCTTTTATAGGAATGATTGCATAGAGAAGAAAGACAGCCCTGAAGTGTTTTTCTGTTGTTGTGAAGGCAACATGTGTAACGAACGCTTTTTCTATTTTCCAGAAATGGAGGTCACGCAACGTAAGTTAGTCTAACACATTTATGAAGGAGCTGCTTATCAGAGTTCAGAAATACTTAATATTGTGCATGTTCAGGAAATAGGACTTTTAAAAATGCAGTCAGGTTTTTTCCTGCCAGAGGTTTCTCATTGCCCGATGATAGAGAGCTGTGTGCATTCACATAAAGAGCTTAGAAAATTGCTAGTTCATTTCTTCGGTTTTGAAAGGTCACTATACTAGAAGTAATTTAAATTGATAAAAGGTGCTTCAGCTCTTTTCTAAGGGTGAGAAGGAAGGATAATCTGAAATAATTGGCTGTTTTAAGATACAGAAGTTACTGTCAAATCTTACCTTAATTGTATGGTTAAGCCTCTGTAAGTGTCTATAAATCATTGGACTAAAGGCCATATCATCCTTACGTGCATGTGTCAGCCTATGAATGCTCCTCTTCTTGAAACAATGTTCTCACTATTTCTTTAAACTAATTGGACCTTTGAGTTTCTCTGTAAATTGACACAGTAACCTTTAAAAAGGGGGAAAGAATTTCCTCCCAGATTACAAAGAAAATGAGATAGCCAGACTTAACAAATAATTGCTTTAAAAAACAATAACTAAAAGATTATTTGATTATTCTTGCATATCTTCTTCCAGTCAAGAATCTAATCTTTGTTGGAAAACTGAATAATGTTAATAACTGAACTGAAAACAGCAAATGTCTTGTGTACCAAATAGCCAAAGGAAGTTGTTTATGAAATTAAGTAACATATTCTATGAGATTAAAATAGCCTTTGTTGACCCAAGAGAGATTCTGTCATTTATGTCAGCGATACTGCTAAGACAATAGTTGACACTCTTGTTCGCTCTCACGAAATCTCTTTTGCCCCAGGGGTCTGTGGCTGCTGTGGCACCAGCTGCCTCAGAAACAGGGCTTCTCTGGAGCCTTTCTTGAGGTCCTATGGAAGTGTCTTCAGCTAGAGAAATTCCACTTTCAGCAAATCAACAGTGCATAGAAATGTTGGCAACTTACTTCTGGCCTGTTCTACTTACTAATGACACCTTATTGTATACATTCCAAAGACTAAACATCTGTATTGACTCTTTTTTCATTCATTAGGTGATGGCATTCTTGCTATCTTTTAAAATACAAGCACCTCTTAGATGCCGTAGATAGGTGGAGCTTAGGAGCACAAGAAAGTTAGATGTGCTAATGTGTAAATCTGGGGATCTGAGTTATTTCTGTGCTTTCCAAAATGCTGCTTTTTTAAATATGTGTCTGTTTATATTGGAGTACGCTATTTAATCAAGGAGTATTAGCCTGTTTTGCTGACTGCAAGAATTTTTAAAATATCAAGATGCTAGACCTTTCAAGCACTGGATGATTTTTGTTTCTTAGAAGCTGTGTCCTTGTGTGTTTTTTTTTTTCCCCCAGCAACTTCCAATCCTGTTACACCTAAGCCACCTCTGTTCAATACCTTGCTTTATTCTTTGGTGCCTATAATGGGAATCGCAGTGATTGTGCTCTTTTCATTTTGGATGTACAGACATCACAAGCTAGCGTATCCTCCGGTACTCGTTCCAACCCAAGTAAGTTGCTGCATTATGGTTTTGGTTTTTGAATGGTAAAACTGTTTTCTGAAGAGGAGAGAAGGGCGTATGCATCTGTCACATGGCTGAAATCTTACGTTACTTTCTTGTTTTTAGAGGTGCTAATGCTTGCTAGCTGCAAAAGCAGAAAATTAAGCTTTACTTAAATAGCTTTAGCTCCTTTAATTAATTGGTATTTGATGAATGTACAAGCAACTATTTAATGTTTTTACACACCTCTGTGTTCAGGAGGCGAAAAACTAAACCTAAAACTTGAGGTGGCAAAGACACAGTATTGCTGGACAGCTGTGGGAGGTTTATACTCGCACATAGTTAAAAGGGTGACTTGTCTGAAAGACGTGTACAGCTATGCTCAGGTATTTACGGTTGAGCTTTGTGTAATGTTTAGCTTAAAATAAAAATGAAGGAGAGATGCTAATTCACAATGGCAATCTGCAGTGAATAGGAAATAATAACTAGTAGAAGCCCAGCTGTTTTCAAAAAAGCATGGAGCTGGGATAACAGGTATCAGTTAAAGGGAATGTAAAGAAAATCTTCAGCTGAAGTGTAGTTCCAGGGCTCAGTTCGTGGCCTTATCTTTCTCCTCTTCCTTGCTTATGTGTGTTGGTTTTTTGTCTGAAAATGTGTAGCAGTGTTTGTGGTTTACTTCGAAAATGTTATGAGATTGTGGCCTCCAAACTTAAAATGTAAGCTGTCCTGTGTGGCATGAAAACAAACCTTTTTTGACTGCATGTGCATAGTTCCTGCTGTTGTCAGGCTCCAGCTGATTCTGTAGGTGTAATTAGTATTAATACTAGAATTCCTTTTCCTTCAGTTATGTCTAGAGACTCAGTTGAGATTAGAAGGCCTTTATAAAAAGAGAGTTAGGACAGCAAACTCCTCAGACCAAAATAGGAAAGATGAACAAAACATGGTAGTGGAAATGGAGATATCAATGACTTGCACAGGGTGCCACAACGCTTGGGTTTTTGCAGTGGGAATTGAACTTAAGCTTCCTAACACAGTTCACTGACCCCTCAGAATACATTGCCTCTCATACAATAATGATATGATAATGCTATTTACAATTAAATAAAATTAAAACATTTGTTTTTTTTGGTAGGATTGCATTTAAGAAGGATTTACATTTATTTGCTCTGTACTGCCAGCTTCTGTGATATTTTTGGTGTTACTGCTTGACTTCAGGATGTTCCAGGAAGCATTATTGCCTGTGGTTGATAAATAAAATTGTTTTGGTTTCAGTTTCATAGTAATAGATAAGAAAAGTTTGGGGGGAGGCAGTGGGCATATGTTCTTGCCAAATGAAAAGAGCATAATTTAGAGGAAAAAAGTATGTTTCCTGTCCTTGCAGAAAGTATTGCAGATCTTCAAACTTCATGCAATCTGTTAGCATAATTATTTCATCCATCTCAATTTTTATGTATTTGGGACTTTACATCAACCTAGTAGTCTTCAGTGTAAGATAAAATTAGTAACTGCTAGCTGTGTGAATAACTTCAGCATGTGATTTCCTTTCTAGACTTAAAGAAATTAAATAAGTAATGGATAAGGTGATAGAAAAACAAACAAATGTTAAATACGTGCGAGGTACCAAGAACTTGAATTTTTATGTTCTTCCTCCTTTTGATTGCAGTTCTTTTCTTGCATGGTTTGTGTGTGGTACAGGAGTGGACACGTCATAAATTTTTAATAAATAGGGTAATAACCTGTTTTGTTAATGCTGAGATGGTATCTGTTGGGATAAATATATGTTGGTGCTTGAACTAGTTACGGTGTAATAATGTCTGTTCACCACAAGATAAGAAAATGTTAAGGTTTGATGTGGAAAGTCAGGAAAAGCTACTTCTGCCTGAAAAACTAAATTAAATTGTTATGGAAACAGAATGTATAAATATTCTCCCATATGCAGCAGAGCAGTATTTCCCACTTTAAATTTGATTAGAGCTGATTTGAACAGGACACAGAGGAAGCAGGAAGAGAGGGAAAAGTATTAGTAATTTTATAACCACGAAACAAGCATTTAAATATTTATGCATTTTCTATATTAAATATTAATATTATATTTAATAATTAGGTCATGAGTAGAGTTTGTAGGTGAATGGATTCTTTTCTAAATCTTTCTGTAGCAAATGGTAGAATGGGTAAAGCAGATATGAGAGAACAGGGATTTCTGCATGTTAATGAGATAAAGGTTATCTCATTTTACTCTGTTTATTCACGGGCGGTGTTGGGAGTACTTCGGTGCAGTACTGTGCCCTGGTACTAATCTTTCTTTCAGTAGAATTTAAAGGATAGACGAGGAATAAGCAAAAGAGAAAAATTGAGGAAACGTTGAAGAAATTTTTGAAGACTTGGGAGAAGCAATAAGTAAATAAAAAAAATAGAGGGAAAAAATTTGAAATATTTTTGACTATTTCAAAAAAGGGAAGAAATGCTAGAAGAAATTTTTGAACCTGTGGTGAAAACATTTTCTTTTGGAAGTAAAATGGTTTCACTGTATGCGCACGTGTCAGGCAGGCAGTTCCTCCACAAACTGAGCTCAGTTCATAGTTGCGTGGATTAACTTAACTTTTTATATTGCCGTTGAATGGACAGATAATTATTTTAAAGTTTCATTTAGTAGAATTAGTTTCCATGTTTGGTTTAAGATTGGAAAGTAGTAGATATTTTTGTTTGCTCGTTATGTGTTTCTTTCAGGTATTTGGGTAGAGAGGTCAAGGGGTTACTAGAGCAGGTAACTGCTGAGATGCTCCTTGCTGGTACCCGAGTCAGAAGTGCTCAGCAGGTGCCGAGACGCGTGTCCGGGATGGCCACGGCAGAGCGGCGTGCTTCGAGGTGCCGCTGCCAGGGCACGGTCCTGTCCTTGCTCCTGCTGCTCCCGTTACTCTTGCCTGATGCGCTTCTTTGCCACTTGTTTGTGCTGTTAACTGTGTGCCTCACTTTATTGTGTGGGGTGCTATCTAGTTAAAGCTGACTGTCATATGTTATAAAAATCTGTCATTCCTCATATTTTTAAATGACTTATTAGCAAATGTAAGTTTGCCAAATATATATGTGTATATGTAAAGCACTTTGAAGAAACTATTTAACTTTCTTATTTATATTAGATCTAATCATGCAGCAAACATATTCATATGCCTGATCAAATTTTCCAAAAAATTGATTAGTATTTTAAATATTTGAATCTGTGTGGTTTTTTTATATAGAAGGAATTACTCTCAGGCAGTTAATTTTCACTCATGAGCACCAGGTACACTGAAAATGAAACACTACTGTCTTTGCAGACAAAGGCTTTCACTCTCAAATTGCACTTTAGATTTCCCCACAGTGTCCTACTAATATTGCTGGTAGAAATATGAATGCGGATGGCAAGGATTTGATATGTTATCCTTATTTATTTTTTACATCTCTTGAACATGGGCCAGAGTTGTCAGTCAATGCTAATTACGACTGTGGTGTTACCACTCTGTCATCTGATCGGTAGGACCATAACCTCTTTTACAGCAAAACTGACACAAGTAACACTTCTGGTTTTTTATCAGTTCAGAGCTGTGGCTCCCAACGTTTTACATCCATACTGTGCAAAGAGAGATTAACCTCTTGTAGTTATTGTTCAGTGCCCAAGTTATGAATATCTTACTGGATCACAGAGTTGCAAAAATTGTTTTGTATTGTTTTTGAAGTAAGAATCTGATGTTGAGAGGGTTGAAAAAGGCTTTACAGATGCACATAATGCCTTCATAACCTATTTTTGTGCTTTCTTCTTAAACGTTTGAAATTACTTGGGTCAAAGATGCTTCACGTTTTTAATCACTGAGCACAAGAAAGCCCTGATCTAGGCCTCTTTTCCTGTTAACAGAAATCTAAAAACTTGGAATGGACAGATCTTGTCTATTAGAGTGTCCATAAAAGCAAGCTTAGTTGCTAGGAATTACCATTCCTCCTTTCTCAGAGGGGACGATTACATAGTTGAAAAATACAACTACATCTTCTGCTTTTAAGTGCCTATGTGTCACTTCATTGAAGTTTTTCACTCAGTATTCTCTGTATTGAGCACAATAATCTTTTATGTGCTTCATTTTTGGGTTGGTGGTTTAATTTTTTTTACCCCATATGGACGGACCTCACTGGTCCTATATAATACGGAGGCCATCCTGTGTCTTCAAAGTCATGTGCTATGTGAACGAAGAATTAAGAATAATTGAAGCACATGTATCAAATATAAAGAGATACTGATCTTGTCCCTCTAGTCTCAAAAGTTTTTTGAGCATAAAAAAACCCTCTCATGGTTGATGGCAGTTTTGGTGTTGCTCCCTTCACTACCGTATCATGATGGTCTTTCTTCAGTGTATCTTTTCCTGAAGACAGTAGAGGGTCTTTGTAGCTATGTCATGATTTTGATATTTCAGTTTCAGCTGTAAGAAATTAGAATTGAGAACAGTATCACAAAATGTGAGGTGAATAATGATGAAGGAGGAAAATCTCTAGCAGTGGCAGATGCAAGACATGTTCTGAACAATTGACTGCAGGTCTGCTGTGTGTTTTGCAGTGGAAAAACAAATTAGGTGTTCGAAACGAGTAGGAAAAGAACGTATAACAAAACAAGCACTGCTCTTTGCTGCAGTTTTTGACCTCAGGCATCTGGTCTAGGCCACCAGACCAGTGCCAAGGAGTTTGGTGAGTGTGCGTGTGTAACTTGAATGGTTTGTTTTCAAAAAGTAGCTAGTAATGGGAAAATTTTTATGGTTGATATTGGAAATGATTTTTATTTGTTGTTTTTATTGTCTAAATTAACTTCTAGCACAGGAAATAATCTACCTGGTATACTTAAAATTTCTGGGATAATTTTTATCCCTTTGTCACACTAGGAAAATTACAGTTGGCTGCTGAAGGAGAATGAAGAAATTCAACTGTGTGTTCAGGTTTTTTCCATTTTTCTCTTCCAGCCACACTTTTTTTTTCCTCGTTCTAGATATTTTAATAGAAACATTGTAACACTTGGAAAATGAAGCAGAAAGGAAGAGGTGTTTTTACAAGGACTTAGTCCAAATTTAAGAAGATTAATAGCTGCTTGAAAAATATATGGAGGAGAAGCCAGGTGCTTATATCAAATGGGAAAAGAGATTGGTCAACAAAGAAAAGGTGGAGCTCAGAAAGAGGAAGAATTAAAAACCAAAAGATACTGAGCTAGAAAGGAGTTAAGGTTGGGTACTTATCAGTGATTAATGAATGATTAACATATAATGAGTGACAATGTTGGTATTGAAAAGGAATAGCTGCATGATCTGAAGATTTGGATTGCTAGATGTGTGCATGATTTCACGTTCTCTAATACTGCGTTTCATGTCTTCAGGACTAACAAGAATTTTTTCTGTAATTGATTCCTGTCGATAGCTGGAATGATGCAGGAGAAAGGTCTGGTGCTGTCCTTTGATTGTGGTATTGTGAGGCACAATCATGAGATGGGTTTTTTTTATGTTTCAGGGTTTTTTTTCCTTCAAATTTTTTCCCTTTAATTTCCTACTACAGTGTAGTAGGAAATTTATTATAGGTAAGGTGTCCTTAATCTGTAGTAGGTAAATAGCTTGTAACTGTCTTTTTAATCCCTGAGCTATTACAATACAATTAGTTCCTTAAATCTTCAACAGAGGAAAGAATTTGTTTGAAAAATAGTTGAAAACCAAGTACGTAAAGTGTTGCATGCTTTTTCAATGCTCAGTATACAACAAGGTGTCCAAAACTTTGATTCTAAATCTTGATAGCTTTTTAAAAATTTTTTGCAATATTTTCCTGAATTCTCAAATTCCTTTCAGAACGAGTTCTCTCAATTTAAATAAACCATAAATACAGCTGTACTTTAAAAAAAAAATCTTCAAGAGGTAAGAAAATACAAACCCAGATTTCTGGTATCTTTATCCTGAATGGGAACTTTATGATTAAACTACAAATAAAATTAAATTTTTAAAAAGTTTTGAATTTCTGTATTTCTAGTATGAACTTCAAATTACTTTGTGCTTTTGCATTGATTCAAGTAGAGCATTGTCTTATAAATCCTTTCAGTACTATACCTTATTCCTGGATTACTAGAAAGCTGGTTTAGTTTTGGGAGTAGGCCTGTACAGAATGGGCCTGAGAGGCTGGTACAAGATGATGTGTATCTGTCTGATAAGGCTGGATGTCGGCAGTTCTTTGTCTCTTACTCTCAAATGTTGACTTGGTATCTACGCAGTTAATGACTGGCAAGACACTGAAGGCTTTTACAGCACTATATTTATTTTGCCTTGAAGAATTTCTCTGTTGTTCATTAATTGTAAACAGTAATAATCAAAATAATCTACATTATCAAGACCACATTTAGATTATAGTCCTAGTCCTTTGGAACAATCTTAGGAAGGCTGAAATACTGATCTTGGTGAAGTCTGCAATCAGGTACTCCTACCTTCAGGAGCTTTTTAATAATTTTCCATAATAAAGTCCAGTTTTCTGTGTATCCTCAGATAATGCTCTCCTGAATGTTTTTGACTGAAATCTTTCAAGTAATAATTTGTATCACTAAATGAGTAATAATTACACATTTCACAAGGTATACAAAAGTAATTAATTTTACCTGACATTCTTTGAAGAGAATGAAGGACTCTGGGCGAATATTTAGATGTCATATATAGGGTGTTAGTTGGGAACAAATGAAGGAATTGGTGCAATAAATTTGTAATGCAATGATTTGCATTTATTTTTAACACCATGTGTATAAAGGTTGTGTGACATGTTTGAAGTTCAGAATATCATTGTGGATAGCCCAAGTTTTGGAAAAGACCATGCTGCTTAGTTTTTTGGTGTAACGGGTTACAAGTATCAGTCACTTTCCTAATACCTGCTAAAACCTTTAGAAGTAGTTTTCGGGCAGTGTAAATAGGAAATTAGTGTGTTGATGTACCTCTGTGTAGGTGGTAGCTATTTTGGTATGGGGGCGGGTTAATTGGTCCCAACTTTTATTTATGAGTTGTATTAATTCCTGAAATAAGAAAGTACATATTTGCATTTCTGTAATAGTCTGATACTGCTTAAACTAGTGATACTTGCATTTCTAATGAAAAGTCTGAGGTGGTGGTCTGTAGACTGAAGGGAAGGACAATGCTTTTAAAATCAGATGGTCTATGATATGCTTCAATCTCTCTTTTGAAAATTTTCATGCTTGTCTAATTTACTAGTGTTTGGGGAGAGCTTAGGAGTAGTGAGAGTCATGGGAGAGGACTCTAATTCTCAAGAGTTTCATGTTTGCAGTTTCTCATTATGGTAGGAGCAAAAAGGTTGTATTTGTGTATCTTTATTTCTGAGGAATTGACGTAATTCTCAGGAGCTGGAGAGTTTTAATAGTCTTGAAAAAAATTTAGTAAATTTTTTACAGCCACAGGAAAGATATTTGAATAATGATTTCATACAAACAATATTTTTTAAATTATTTCTTAAGTTACTGTCTGTTCTTTGATTACTTGAGTTAGTAGAAATGAGGGAACAGATATTTCTATTGCTCTGTTCAGTAGCCGTTCCCTATCAGAATCACAGATTGAGTAATATTTTATTTTGTTCGGCTGCTGTTTCTGGCAAATGATTATGGGGGGCTTGGAGGAGGAACTCCTTTCAGTAATTGTGCTCGTGGTTTGTGGAATTTATGCTGTAGAATCTCACTTTTTCTAAGTGTATATAGAATAGCTGTCATTCTACTGGAAGCACCAGCACAGAGGTTTGAAGATGAGGATGGTCAGCTACTCTAAGACCTGTTTAAGGTGGTGGATTTTTTTTGAGGGAGCCTTTTTTTTTTTTTTCCTTCTGAAGTGCCCCAAAATATTTGCAGGCTGTACAGGACCTGCCAGAATCTGTTTCAGACCCTTGGGGTGGGTGTTATCCTCATCTCCTGTGGTCAGCTGATCAACGGCAAGAGGAGTGATCCTGTTGGGCTCCAGTGTTCTTTAGTGCTCTGTCAGTGGCAGCAAGTTCTACTTGTATTTATCAACAGTATTTATAAATCTGACTCCCAACTAATCTAGCCTTCAAGAAATACTTCAGCCATTCTATTATTAATTATTTACGTAATGCTAAGTGTATGCTACAGTTTTCAAGCGCAGAGAAAAGCCTCCTGTTGGCCCCGTGCTCTGTAGCATCCTAAGAATGTAAAGACAAAGGGCGAAGAAAAGGATGACTGCTGTTAACATGGCAGATGAATACTTCGGGTTTTTGAATTTCATGCTCTTGCAACATCTGTCTGATCAACTTATAAAGGACAAAGAAAATTGCTGAGGCAAAAACACAGGCGGAGGAATGAAGGTGTCTCAGTGCTTCTCTGGTTGAGTGGCAATGAGATTGTTCAATAAAAAAGCATGGAAGTAGCAGGAACAAGTGTGTGTCATTAAAATGTGTTTTAAGTTCTGCTAGCAGTGCTCTGGGAATTAAGTTTTTATAACAGATTTAATTCCACAGTCTGTAAACTCATGTGACTTGTTTGAAAGAATCTTGAATACTGTAATCTTCGTTTATATATGCTGGATATAGTGTTTTCAAGTTCACTTGTTCAAGGTACACCTCTAGCATGCCAGATTTATTGATTAAATTTAGTAATACAGACCTAGTATATGATGACCTCTTTGTTTATAACGTTTAGTTATAATTTAGACGTTAAAAAGTTTTCATTTTCCACAGTTAGCTACTGCTTACAGTGAATTGTAAGAAATACAACGCTGCCCTCTAGTGTACGTTTGTGAGCATAACAAGAAATAAGTTTGTGTAACTTGTGTTTGTATGTTTAATTTTCTGCATGTCTTTATATACTGTTCTGTAGTAACATAACTGTTTATACACCTACAATGGACAGTTCTGCTTTTAATTATAAGATCAATTCAGCTAAAGGTCTGTATAATACTCTTTATTTTTGCCCGTATTTCTTCGTGAACGTATCAGTTATGGATTTTTATTTTAAATGATCTGTTATTAATACAAGACAGTATTGCAATCCACATGAATATTTTTGCTGTTAATTCACAAACAATTTCTTCTGTCTCTTTTCTTATAAGCTGTTTTTTCGTCCCATTCTTGGTATAAATAGTAATTTCTTTTGCCTGTGTTTTTTTCCCCTCTCTACAAGCACGCCTTTCATATAATGATTGAGGTAAGATGCATTGATGTTTGTTCATGGTTATGGAACTTTCTGTGGACATGTAAGAAGTTGTTTTGGTATGAATTACATCTTTTTGGTATTTTGGACAAGAAATTCGTAAGCATGCGTGGTTTAAAAATACAGATTTAGTCTGCTGCTCATAGCTTTCTTAAGATTTAGTGTAATTTCTCAGGCTATCAAGGTAAAAGTCTGCAGGGTTTGCTAATGAACTAGAGCAGGCGTAGTCACTTTGTGGTTCTTAGTCTCCAGACTAGCTCGTTTGCATCCCTTGCACCCTAGTGCCGCACCGCATGTGCAGCGGTAAGGGCTCCGCTGGTGTGGCGTTTCCTGGTAACCTCAGTCTCGGGCTGTGGGAGCAGTCCAGCCGGCAGGGACTGCCGCGCCTGCTGTAGTGGCTTTGCCCTGGAAGTAAACGGCACGTCCTGCCCGCCTCTGTCCTGTCTTTGGGTATCCGTTGTCATCTCCCACCTATGAACTGCCTGTAACTGTTTGAGGTGTCTGGTCTTCATGTTGTGATTCTGAGCGATGTGATGGTTTCGTTGTGTGATCCAGGAGCTTGGAGAAATAGATCACCTGAAGAAAAATACTATTGCACTATGAAGTCTCTTCTTTGACTTTTTCACTGGCCAGAGTTATTTTTACTTGTATTAAATGAGTGATACTTCATGTGAAACTACAAGTAACTGAAAACTATTAATTCAGAAACGTGGTCGTTATTGCTAGGCTTTTAAATTGGATATTAAAAAAAGTAAAGATTTGAGTTCTAATATAAATGCTTATTTTCCGTTGTCTCTATAGGTCTCTAACAAATAGCTGAAGTGTCTTCTAAATGTAATTTAGAAGAAAATAGAATGGTGCTATTTAAATATTGTCCTGAGTATCTTGCATCTGTAAAGATTTACCAGACTTCTTTCTATTTGTATTAACGTTTTGCTTCAAATGACATAAATTCACTTGGGAAGAAGTTGAAGTATTTACCTACAAGGAACTACTGTTTATATTATTCTGGAGAATATGTTTGCAATGTATGATAAAACAGAGGATTTTGTAGGGTGAAAAAGAGAAAAATTGTCACAGTTTAAAAGAAATGGTTTGATATAAATTGTAGAGTCAATTTTAGAATAATAACAAAATGTAAGAATTTTGACTCATTTTACTGTGTTTAGATCTTACCTGGTTACAAATGAACCAGTCCCAAACTAGAAGGGCAGGAAACAACCAGGATAGTCATCAGATTTTTTCAATGAGAACTTGTCAACCGTATTCACAATACAAGCTGTAGAATAAATGTAACCAAGGGGAAATATTGCACCATTTAACTTGCATGTGTTCTGGAAGCTTGAACTTGTTTATATTTTGGAGTCAGGGAAGAGAAATGCGTCTACGTGCAACCCTGTTTGGATAATTGGTCTTTTCCCCTTTGTTGTACATGATGAATCACCTGAATCAGTTGCTGCACGAGACACACAACTGGAGATAAAACTCAAGTGCTGACAGATTATGTTGGGGCAGATCTTTAAACAATCTGTTCAGTTGGTCATATTTTTAATGGATTTGTTAAGCATCTCTCTGATCTTGAGAACCTTTCTTGAAGACACTTGAGGAAACCTATTTCTGGAAGTTACCATTCTTTAATGAGTATTTTTCTCTCTATTCTTTTTCTGGTATTACTAATATGTACTAACTGACAGCTGACTGCAACTCCCAACTATAAAAATCAGAACCAAGCCCTGTTTGAGGTTTGAAAAGCTTACCGTGTACAACATAACTAGATGTGTGTGATTTTGAGATCACCATACAACTCAAACTCATGGTTTTAATGATCAGTGGCTTTGAGCTATGGGAAGAGTAAAGCTTAGTTGTCTTATGATCCAGTCAGTTCAGGTACTTTTTGCCAATGTAGCTGCTTCTGCTTTTTATCTGGCAGAAGTCGTTGTGCTGCCTTTGCTAACTGCCACAGGATTAGGACAGAGCATGTCTTTGAGAAGGTGGAATACTTGGGATGAAGTTACGTGGGCCAGCGGCTCCCCGCTCGCAAAAGAGAGAGTTCTGCTTCCCTCTGCCTTGCCGTGCTTTTTTGTGTTAACCAGGACCCTGGAGCAAACCAGGGTTTGCCAAATTATCGGAAAACCAACCTTATTTTAATAAATAAATAAATTTGTAAAAGGTTTCTGGCAATACAGCATATTGCCTTGATTTTCTGTATTATCACACAAGTACCAGAATAAGTCCAAGGGAAAGGACAGGGAAAACTTGGGAATGGGAAATTTGGCCCTTATTTTTTAACAGCTGTGGCAAGCTGTTAGACTAACATATACACATTATATCTTTGCTCACATTATATCATCATCCTTGGCGCCACTTAGATGATTTCAAAAAGCCATACAAAAATAATTATGCCTGTGGCACGTCAAACATTTTTGCTTAGAAGTAGAGCAAGTTGAAAATGCTGTCAAGGAATGTTTCTGTATAAAAACAGAACCTGTGGTTTTAAAGTTGATTTTAACAAAGTTGTTCAAAGGAGAAGGGGAAAAAAAAACAACACAGAAGAAAATGGACAACTGTTCTTGGCAATTATACTGAACATTTTAAATTAGGATTTGTTTTGATTTGGGGGGGGGGGGTGTTGCGTGTTCATAAGAATGGCAGGAGTTTTGACTTAATAGAAATGTTTCAATGTGAAAGGGAAACGTGCAAGGAACCACAGGAGATTTCTAAATAAGGTAGTGGGAAAATATTTTGAAATTCCAGGGTTTTCTAGGAAACGTGAAATTTATGTTTATGGAAAAAAATCTTCGCTGGGTGAGGAACTGGCTGG